TCCACACTAAATAGTTCTGCTGACTCAGTCTCAGCAGCTTTGACTTCCGCTAACCTGCTAACCCGGTAACGCATAGCAAACATTTTTGTGAACTTTGAAGACATTAATGTTGACGTTTACGATATTGATTCAGGTTCGGTTCTGATGCAGCCGGATGACTTAAGATCATTAAGCAGTTACACATTTATATTCAGGCTCTTATTCTGAAGTCTGTTCAGACAGCAGTTTTGTTTTCTTAATTTTCGCTGTTTTTATCCAAAACAATAAATTCTTATCAAACAAGCAACATTCAGGAAGAAAATAAAAACGGACAACAAAACAAGACGCAAGCATAAATGCATTATGAAACATATGAATTGTGACGTCAAAATGCAAATTGTTGCTGGAGGTTGTAGTCTTTCTGAAGCACTTTAGCATTAGCTTGCGCTAAGTGCGTGTTGCTAAAGCCTTTAGCGGAGCCAGTGTTTCTGTTCATTACTTTAGCATCAACAGCACAAACTGTCATCATTCTGGGTCTTATGTAATTAGACATCTTGTGAATTTTAGCAAATCTGAAGATTTGAGCTCCGACTGCAGCGAAGCAGCCTACCGAGCATCTGCCAAACATCAGACGACATCAATATCAGCTAAAGTTCAGAAATACTAAAAATTCAGAACCTGACCCATCCGACATCCATCCGCTCCGGTTCTGACCCGGTTTGCGCATCTACCTAAAGCATCTCTGCTTTATGCTGTGTTATTAATAGAAGCTGTGATGCTTGGAAGGTTTTAGAGTTTCATCCATAAATAAATCAGAATCTGAACGCGATGAAATGATAAATTCAGGAAGTAAACAGTCAGAAACAAACACGAATGGGTTTAGATGAACGTTCAGCAGCATGAGCCTGAACCCTGACCCGATCTGAACCAACCCGACCTGGCCGAACCTTTGGACCTATCCCAGCTGTTCCTCACAAAAACGCTTCAGGAACCTTAAATTATTCACCAGCTGCTCCATCTTAACCTACTTTCGGGTTTGGAGGAGGAAGCCAGGTTACTTGTTGCTGCCGATGGTTCCCTGCAACCATGATGCTGCAGGTGCTGCTGCGTGATGCTGCTGCATCCATCCATGATGCTGCTTGCTGCATTTAGATGCATCTGGATGCAGCGCTGCAGGAGGCTAACATGGCAGAAAGAGGCCCATCTGGGCATTCTTACCTGTGCGTTTCCACGGAGACGGCTGGAGCGGAGTCAGCAGGCTGAGAGGTTTCTGGAGACATCCCGCCTCATCCGGCTGCAGCTGTTCAGGGATCAGAACCGAACCTGAACTGACAGCAGGATGTGCTGGCTCCTCAGCAGCAGCAGCAGCAGCAACAGCAGCAGCAGCAGCAGCAGCAGCGGCGGCGGCGTCTCTCTCCCTCCCTCTCCTCCGCCTCTACACCTCCCCGCAGCCTCCTCCCGCCGCGCCGCCATGCTTCCAGTCCGGTGCGCCTCGCTGCGCCCTGCCTGCCCGGAGAGGCTGAGCATGTGTCCGGGTGGGGGAGGGCTGGCCGGCGGCGCTGCGCTGCAATAGGTCAGCCCAACACCAACATCTGATCCTTCACTGCTTCAACCGCATCAGCTGATATTTCAGTAAATTAACTAAAAAAAGAGAAATTTGTTGTTAAAAATCCAGCATGTTGTCACTGAGTGGCGCTCATTCTGCAGAACCGAACCGGGCTGGTTCTGGTTCACTGCAGGGAGAAGAGCTGCACAGAGGAAGTGGGAGTGATTGTAGGAAAACAGACAAACCAGGGAGGGGAGGGGGTATTTATAGAAGCTGCTGTTTTTAATTCACAGGCAGCCTGGATGCTGCAGTTTGATTAAAACATGATTCATAATTTAATTTCATTTAATTATCAGACGGAAATAACATCCAGGCGATTTACAAATCGAAATGAAATAATTTCATGCATTTCTGCCGAATCAGAGCAGAGCCTCATGGAAACTGGGACATTTCAGTCAAACTAACGTTTCTTTACATGTTGGTCACGTGATTTCCATGTAAACATTGTGATGCGTGTTGATGCGTGGAAGCCTCAGGGTGCGTGCGGTGACCTAGATTAGGCCTTGATGCTCCCCAGCCTGCAGCGGAGGAAACACACACACACACACACACACACACACACACCTCAGACCCAGAGCATCCAGTCGGCCCGGAACAGAGCAGGTTAATCCCGCCGCCTCCTCAGATTGCGGATCCGGATCAGCAGATTAGCAGCAGCTGCAGCTTAAAATGTCTCCAAAAAAATAAATAAATGTCCGTATGCCAAAAGCTGGATTCATCCCATAATGAGGTTACATAATCAAAGGAAAACATCTGGACCGAAACACAACCAAACGATAAACACATTCAGCCTCAGATTAATCCTGCATGTTTTATTTTAATATTCTGATCTGAATCTCAACCTGATTTAAATCTCAGTTTTAGCTAAATGTGTCCAAGTTTGATCCTGATTTTATTGCATTATATATGAAGAATTAGTTAAAGATGCATGTGGTGAAAATATCTTAATGTATTCAAAACAATGTGCAGCTTCTTTATTCCAAGTTTTTTATTCAGACGTTTGAACACTAATGATGCCCCTGCGAAACTGGACCGAGTCGCCAGAAACACATCAGCCTGGAAACCAGCAGAATCAACAGCAGAACCTCATCCAAACAGCAGTAGAGCTACAACAGAGTTTGCAGTGGCCTAGTCAAAGTCCGCCCACCTTCATGATGAAGCTGGTTAGTGACTCAGCTGTTCCTGTGAGGTTCTGATTGAGTTCTGGTAAAAGCAGCGGCGCCGCTCACAGATGGCGGTTTTCCCACGGAGACGGAGACACATCATTAGCCCCAAAACAGGAAATGAAGCGTCAGGAGGGAAAAATCCACTCATGAAAATGATGAGATAATTCAAAGTTTAGCTGCTAAAGAAACAGAAACACCCAGCAGAAAACAAGACAAGAAACACATTTCATTCACTCTGAAAGATTCATTTAGTTCTTTACTAAATTACTCAACAATGATAAGGTTTATCCTAAATAATAAGAAACAGATTTACTAAACTAAAAGGCTGAGTTTATGAAACATTAAAGCTCAGAGCAGAAGCACGAGGGCGGCCATCTTTAGATTTCAGAGGACACGTGACCCCGCCATGAAACGCTCCTTTACTGACAGATTATTTGACCTTAACATTTTAAAAGTGTTTCTTCTCTCTCTTTTGAAAACAATTGAATAAACTTCAGTTTGGCTTTCACAAGTCACAAGTAAAAAACCCGTAATCCAAATAACTGGAAGCTAAAGTTTGTGTCTGACCGTTGCATGTCATTAGCCAACATGCTAACCTGCAGTAACAAACCCCATTCTCTACAGAAACATCTCTAATGTTAGCCAGTCAGCAGCATGTTGAGAATGGGCCGATAAGTAAAACTCATCCAATCTGTAGCAGCGTCGCCTCACTAGAGGCAAGTTTGGACCTGAACGATGCTGCTTTTTACGTTATGAACCTGAACTCATCACCCGTCAGCTAGCAGCAGCTAGCTCTGTTTCACTGCGCTGTAGATTTTAAATCGCAAACATTAAAGAGACGCAACGTGTGTGTGTGTGTGTGTGTGTGTGTGTGTGTGTGTGTGTGTGTGTGTGTGTGTGTGTGTGTGTGTGTGTGTGTGTGTGTCAGCATTCCTCACCTGATAAAAACCAGCTTCCCAACAAATACAACATGGGAACCAGCTGCTCTTCACCTCCAGATGTCAGGAAAATCTCTCGAGACCAAACGTGAGTTCAGAGTAAACAAATATGGCCGACTGGGAAGAAGCAATGGCGCCCTCACCCTAACAGAGATAACGATCAAAAAAAATCTTAAGTTTGGATATTTTAACAGGATTTATGGGACTGATTGTTCACTAACAATCAGACATTACGTGGTATACCTAATGTCCTTTTCATGTTCGTTAAAAACAGTTTTTCTAGTTTCTCTGTTCCAAGTCTTCATAAGCTTCAAATTGAGAACGTGGACATGAGAGACAATAAATGTCCCAATAGGTTTTTAATCAATATTCTATACATAATATGTACCCCAGTCGAACGAAACGTACATTTCTCCTAACAAATCTTTGATAATCAAAATTAGAACTAATTATTTCAAATTATTTTGAATTACAATTCAAAATAATAAATGACATATATCCTTCAAATGAGAACTTAAGAGAGAGATTTAAATTCAATGTTGGGAATTGTGGTTTTTGTACAACTCAACTGGAAACTAAACATTTGTTTTATGAATGTAAAGAAGTAAGAAACCTTTGGGATGAATTTGTACTTTTTATCCTCTAGATCTATAAATGTGGACTTTAATTCTTTACAAATATTTCAGTTTGGTTTATATCTCAAATAATTTTTTTGTTTTAGAATTCTTAGTGAATGTTTTGATGATTAACCAAATATTATACCATAAATGCTGTTATGCAAAATGCTCCCTCTCAATCTCTGCTCTCAAAAACAAACTTTCCTCCTTTAACAGATGTCTGAAAGACCTTAAAAGTAAATAAATCGTGATTTAATGGAAGAATTTCAATTAGCCCCTCTTCTCACTAACTTACATTTATTTTTTTACCTTTATTTTCGTTTTTCTGTTTTGTAATTTTGTATCTCTTGTTCTAGCCTTTATTTTCTATTAGAGTTAACAGGAGTTGTGATCTTATTTTTTACTTGTAATGTTCATTATTGACGTATTGTTTGAGTTTGTCATTGTTATTCTGTATTTCAATAAAAAATAACAAACAAAAAGAAAACGATTCAAAAACAATTCTGTAATACACAACACTGTCTCCACCGGACTTCCTGTTGTGTGTTCCTCGCGTTCTGATTGGATACAGACCACAGGCAGTCATTTTCCTAAAAACCTGTTTTCTCCTGCATGAAAAGTTGATCACTTTTCCATAAAATATTGAAAACAAACAACAAAAACACACTAAAACTTAAGAAGCTTGTCAGTGTTTATATTTCAAAGCAGAACCACATAAAGTCCATTTTCTGGCCCTACAAGACTGAAACGTTTCTCTTTTCTGTTCTGATATGGCTGCTGTCTTAGTTCTTGTAACTAATTTTAATCTCATAAACCATTAAACTGCCAGTTAAAAACTCCTGGTTCTGAAGCTCCGCCTCCAACATGGCTGCTCTGTTAACCTGTTAACCATTTCTACAATCATCTCAGCAGGTGTTTGCTAATTGCTGCCAGCTAGTCTGGAGGAGTAGAGTGGAGGTGCAGGGGGGCGGTGAAAGCTTGGAAACTGCAGCTCAGAGGAGGATCTGTGCCTTGTGGGCGGGGCTAGGTCCACCCAGGCCTTTTGCTCAGCTGAGTGGTTGCCATGGAGATGAAAGGATTTCTCAAACAACGCTCCAGGTTTGATTCTGATGACATGATGTAATAAAGTTGACTTTACATGATTCTGCCCGTTGCAGTGACAGTGGTAAGTCGGAGAATGGTTTGTGTTTGCAGTTTTCACATGCGGATCCTTCGCTGCTCCCTCCAGAACTCCCCGATCCCCTCAGACAAAGCCAGCTCAGCTAAGCCCCTGCACTCCTGGGGGTAAACCCCACCAGGGCGGTGCCTTTCACCATGACCCCCTGCTGCCCCGCCAGCTCCGCCACTCGAGCCGCGATGAGGGCGGCCGGGGCGTGGCAATATGGCCGCCCGTCGACGACGAAGCGCGGCCATGGCGGGTTGCTCGGCGCCACGGCTCCCGCCACGCTCTCCACGTTGCAGGCGATCTCCACGGCGCCCTCATGTGGCAGAGCCAGCACCTGGACCCCAGGAAGCCCACCGGGCGCCGACTCCCTGAGGGCGGCGGCGACGCGGCGGCCGACGGCGACGTCCTGCGTGTCGATGGAAACGTTACAGTTCATGACGTAGGGACCGGCTCCGACTCCTGCAGGATCAGAACAGAACCAGTTCAGAACCAGATCGGCCTTAAAACCAGTTCTAGAATCAGTTCAGGCAGCATTAACTGAACTGATTCATGTTCGTAGTTCACCTGATAAACATGCTGATTCAGTTTCAAACTGTTTCTCTGTAATTTATTAAAATGAGTCTGAATTTCATCAGTTTTATTCTTTCCTGCTCTTTATTCATAAACGATTTGAGAACATTTAACGCTTTGATCCACAGAACAGAAAATATTTAATATTTCAACCAAGCAAAGCCTCGTTGACCATTTTGTTGGTATGACAACAGAACACATGGGAGTTTTTAATGTTTTTATACCAGGATATAAAAACTAAACCAAAAGAGAAACATCCATAAACTGAAAGTTGAGTTTGGTGAAACTTTTCCCTCCTCAATCATTTTCTGATCAATCAAAATAAATTCAGACTTTACTCTTCATCAGCTGAGTCAGTCACTGACCTGCAGGAAGGTCAAAGAAGCTGCTCTCTGTATGTGGTGGGAACACTTCTGCTAATAGCATTTTGCTAACTTTGAAACTGATTTAAGATGTTAGAGTGGTATATTTGTTAGTCATTATTTATGAAATAAAATGAAACTAAACTGCAGAAGTGCTTTGATTCCAACAGTGAAATGTGAACCAGTTGACCCGGTTGACCTGCAGTGACCTGTGAGTCCGTATCGTTCCCGCGGTGGCGGCCCGACGTCGGCGGTGAGCGCCCGCAGGTCCGGACTCTTCCGGAACCAGCCCATCTCCTTCCTCCTGCGGGCCAGGCCGCGCCGCAGCGCCGCGTCCGCCCAGCCGAACAGGAAGACGCTGCTGCCGCGGACGGTCTCCGTGAGCCCCAGCGCCACCGCTGCACCACCCAACAGGAACCGGCGTTAGAGAGCAGAGCTAATTACAACCTGTGATCACACCAAGAGGCTGCAGCACCTGCTGCAGCACCTGCTGCTCATTATCAGCTCTGCCAGCAGCGCCAGACTAATCAACACATGGGAGGAACAAACAGCTTTACTGAACCTGACAGAGGGAAAAATGTAGGAAAAGTCACATTTTCACCAAGTTATTCAGACATTTATAAATATCACAGTTCCAAACTAAATATTTAAACATTTAGTTCTCAATACAAAAACACAATATTTAGTTTAAAACTGTGAAATTTGTGATTTATGAAAATACAACCTGGTAAAATGAACACATATTTTCTCCATGCCAGACTAAATGAACCTAAATATTGCAGTTAACTTTTTACAGTGTAACAAACCGTCCGCTATGTTTCACTTCCTGTTTTACTTTGAAAGGCTCCCAGACTCACCCAGGGCCTGCTGGACGCAGTCCCGCTGCCCCACCGCCTCCCCCAGCGGGTAAATGGGGATCAGGTCCACCGACCCCATGCAGGGGTGCACGCCCACGTGCCGGCGCATGTCGATGAGCGCGCACGCCTCCTGGGACGCAGACAGCACCGCGTCTCCTGGAGGAAACGGCGCCATTAGAGCCAGACTGGAAATAATCACATATTTCTGCACTGAATCTGAGGAAAAGCTTCTTAACGCTGGAGATAAAGATCCTGCTGCCGATCTTTATCTGGATCCCAGCGGAACCAGGGCCGGGCTGGAACCGGGCCGGGCCGCCGTTACTCACTGATGCAGTCGATGGAGGCCACGATGGTGATGACGGATCGGTTATAGTCATGATCGTTGAAGATGTTCAGCACCGTGGTTTCCTTCCGTTGCCTGCCTGACAAACGATGACAACGTTCAGAAACCAATACTAATCTATAATCAATATGTTTTCATCATGGGGTTTGAACTGTCACTGCTCAGAAAAGTACAACAAACCGACAGAATTGATCAGAAATGAATTTTAAATTAAAATAAAATTCACCATACAAAAAAGAGAAATAATTATAAAACAGGAAAACATCTGAAACTTGAGAAAATACTTAAAATATTAATAAATGAGCTTGCCATGCAATTTCTAATGGCAAACTTATTATTTCCAGTGCCTGGACCAATCAAAAAACTCCACTGTGAGCAGACATCCAATCAGTGATGATCTTAGGTTTATGGTGGTGGAGGGTCTGAGGGCCCCAATGACCCCAGGAGCTCTGCTATCTGGGGCTTCATGCCCCTGGTAGGGTCACCCAAGGCAGACAGGTCCTATGTGAGGGACCAGACGAAGCGCAGCCCGAAGACCCCGATGATGAATGGCAGCTTTGGACTTAGTGTTCCCTCGCCCGGACGCGGGTCACCGGGGCTCCACTCTGGAGCCAGGCCTGGAGGTGGGGCACGTTGGCGAGAGCCTGGTGGCCGGGCTTTTACCCATGGAGCCCGGCCGGGCCCCCAAGAGGAGACACGGGTCCCTCCTCCCATAGGCCCACCACCTATGAGAGGAGCCAAAGGGGTCAGGTGCGATGTGAGATGGCTGAGGCAGGGGGTCCTGGCGGTCCGATCCTCGGTTGCAGAAGCTGGCTCTTGGTGTGGAACGTCACCTCTCTGGTGGGGAAGGAGCCGGAGCTGGTGTGTGAGGCTGAGAGGTTCCAGCTAGAAATAGTCGGTCTCACCTGAACGCATGGCTGGTTCTGGAACCAGTCTCCTTGAGAGGGGCTGGATGTACTTCCACTCTGGAGTTCCCACAGCGAGAGGTTTGGGGCAGTAGTGGGCATACTTGCTGCTCCCCATCTCGACGCCTGTACGTTGGGGTTTACCCCGGTGGACAAGAGGGTAGCCTCCCTCCGCCTTCAGTTGGGGGACGGGTTCTAACTGTTGTTTGTGCTTACGTCCTGAACAACAGTTCAGATTACCCACCCTTCTTGAAATCCTTAGAGGGAGTCCTGGAGAGTGGCCCTCCTGGGGACCCTCATTCTGCTGGGGGACTTTAATGCTCACGTGGGCAAACGACAGTGAGACCTGGAGGGGCGATGTTGGGAGGAACGCTCCACCCGATCTGAGCTTTAGTGGTGTTCTGGTTGTTGGACTTCTGTGCTCGTCTCAGTCTATAACAAACACCATGTTCAGGCACAAGGGTCTCCATATGTGCACTTGGCACCAGGACACCGTAGGCCCCAGTTTGATGAATGATTTTGTCGTCGTTTCATCGGATCTGTGGCCGTATGTTTTGGACACTCGGGTGGAGAGAGGTGTGGAGCTGTCCACTGACCACTACCTGGTGGTGATTGGCTCTGGTGGTGGGGGAGGATGTCGGTCAGACCTGGCAGGCCCAAACATGTTGTGAGGGTGTGCTGGGAACGTCTGGCTAAGTCCCCTGTGAGACGGAGCTTTAACTCCCATCTCCGGCAGAACTTCGAACATGTTCTGGGGAAGGTGGTGGACATTGAGTCCAAGTGGACCATGTTTCATGCCTCCATTCTTGAGGTGGCTTATCGGAGCTGTGGCAGCAAGGTTGTCAGTGCCTGTGGCGGCAACCCTCGAACCCGTTGGTGGACACCTTTGGTGAGGGATGCTGTCAGGGAGTGGATGAGATTTGCCCGGAGTTTCTTAAAGCTCTGGATGTTGTAGGGTTGGTTTGGTTGACACAACTCTGCAGTATCACATGGACATCAGGGGCAGTTCCCCTGGATTGGCAGAGTGGGATGGTGGTCCCCCTGACCGGAGGGTGTGCTCCAATTATAGAGGGATCACACTCTTAAGCCTCCCTGGCAAGGTCTATTCAGGGGTCCTGGAGAGGAGGGTCTGTAGGATAGTCGAACCTCGGATTCAGGAAGACCAGTGTGGTTCTGGTTCTGGTCGTGGAACACTGGACCAGCTCTAGACCCTCAGCAGGGTCCTGGAGGTTCTGGGAGTTCCCCCAACCGGTCCACATGTGTTTTGTGGACTTGGAGAAGGCGTTCGACCGTGTCCCTGTGGGGGGTTCTCCAGGAGTATGGGGTACTGGGCCCTTTGATATGGGCTGTCAGGTCCCTGTATGACCGGTGTCAGAGTCTGGTCCGCATTGCCAACAATAAGTTGGGCTCGTTTCTGGTGAGGGTTGGACTCCGCCAGGGCTGCCCTTTGTCACCGGTTCTGTTCATTACCTTTATGGACAGAATTTCTAGGCGCTGCCGAGGTGATGAGAGGATCCGTTTTTAGGATCACATCTCTGGTTTTTGCAGATGATGTGGTCCTATTGGCTTTATCAGGTCATGATCTGCAGCTCTCACTGGAGCGGTTCGCAGCCGAGTGCGAAGCAGCCGGGATGAGGATCAGTGCCTCCAAGTCCGAGGCCGTGGTCTTGAGCCAGAAAAGGGTAGAGTGCTTCTCCGGGTCGAGGGGGATGTCCTGCCCCAAGTGGAGGAGTTTAAGTATCTCAGGATCTTGTTCACGAATGAGGGAAGAAGGGAACGGGAGATCGACAGGGATTGGCACAGCGTCCACCGTGAAGCGGCGCTGTGCCGGTCCGTCGTAGTGAAGAGAGAGTTGAGTCAAAAAGCAAAGCTCTTGATTTACCGGTCGATCTACGTTCCTACCCCATCTATGGTCATGACTTTGGGTCATGACAAAAGAATGAGATCGCGGATACAAGCGGCTGAAATGGGTTTCCTCCATAGGGTGGCTGGGCTCTCGCTTACAGAGAGAGAAGCTCGGTCATCCTGCAGGCACTCAGAGTAGAGCTGGTGCTTCTCCACATCGAGAGGAGCCAGTTGAGGCTCCATCCAGATGGTCAGGGTGGAGGCTTCCTGGTGAGGTGTTCAGGTCCCACCAGGGGAAGACCAGGACATGTTGGAGAGCCGATGTCTCTCGGCTGGCCTGGGAACGCCTCGGGATTCCCCCAGAGGAGCTGGAAGAAGTGGCTGGGAAAGGGAAGCCTGGGCCTCCATTCTTCAGCTGCTGCCCCCGCGACCCGGATGGATGGATGGAAGATGGATGGATGGATGGATGGATGGATGGATGGATGGATGGATGGAAGATGGATGGATGGATGGATGGATGGATGGTTGGAAGATGGATGGATGGATGGATGGATGGTTGGAAGATGGATGGATGGATAGACGGATGGATGAATTTCTTTTTCATGATAATATATTAGCAGTTAGAGGAGAAGTTGGTTCAACGCTGTTAAATGTTTTATCAAACAATTTAAACGAGTTTCTATAAAAATCTGATCTGTAATAACTGGTCACGTCTATTGAATCAGCAGCTTTTCTCTGAATATGAGGATTTCTCCTTTCTGTTAAAAAAATAAATAAATAAAGACCTTGTGGTAATTAGTTAAGTTAGATTTATCTAATTTACTAATAATTTACTAATTTATCAAATTAAATCTTATTAAATTAAACTTCATCTTAAATTTCCTTTAACTTTGGCTTAAATTAAAGTTACATTTAGTTGATTTGAGATTAGAGAAACTACACTAATTTAAGATCAACTTAATTTAAATTAGCTGAATTAAATTTAGCCGTGAAAATATAAGATATAAGAAAATGTGACTGACTGACCTGCTGCGTCGTACAAAGCAGCCTTGGCCACGTTCTCCACCAGGTCCGTCCTACGAGCCTCAGAGACGTTCAGAAGACAAGCAACCAGACGTGACCCGAGAGTCCCAGAGGTCATGATCCTGCAACAACACAACCATCATGGAACCAGCAAAACCATCATGGAACCAGCAAAACCATCATGGAACCAGCAAAACCATCATGGAACCAGCAAAACCATCATGGAACAAATCCATGAGCGAAATGCTATGGCTGATGAATTTGTATGTTTGGTCCGATAAATGATTTGAACTTTTTTTCATCTTTTACTCATGTGAAGAAACTAGCTACAAAATTGCATAAGCAGCAGCAAAACTAAAATCTCCCATGAAGCCAAAGTCTGAATCCAATCGTGACTTTCTGTAGCGGGTCACCTTTCAGAGGAACTGAGAGAATCTGCTGCAAACCTGAACAGAACCTGCAGGTCCAAAGTCCAGCCTGCAGCAAACCGGACTCAGCTGTCGGTGCATGAGAGGAAAAAACATTTAGTGCCGTCAGATGAACTTTAACACACGACATCACGTTCAGCTGAAGTTCAAACAGCAAGACAGTTCACTGTGCACCGCTTCCTGTTTGGGTTTTAACAAGATAAAGCGTCCAGTATCTCTGCTGCCATCTTCTGGATGAATTTGGTTCCTGCAACCAAACCAGTCGGTGTGTTTACGAGTTAACTTATGAGTCAAATATAAGTCACTGAATGTTTCGGTGCTCCATCCGTTCATTTCCAATCTAATGTGTATTTCTTGAAGGATTTAGTTTCGTTCTTACTACATTTATTTGGTTCGCAGAAAAATGTGGCTGAAAAGCTCTGCTTGACCAGAACCGGAACCGGAAGTAGGTTGGCGGGACTCCTCTTGTGTTGTCTCTTTGTTACAGGAAGTACATCAGCTGCTGGTTGTATTTTGGGGAAACAGCGCCGCTCTGTGGTCACAAACGGTCTAACTGTTAGTGTTTGAGTGAATTTGTTTAAAAATGCGGCGCAGTGCGCGGCGGGTCACTGTTGCTAACTGACAGTATTTATTGCAGTTTGCGGGACAGGAAGCCGTTGCGGTGCTGCCAGCCAGCAGCAGCGTTCACTGCCTCAGACAGAACCCGTCCGGACTCCAGTCCGGGACTCCATGTTGTCTCCCAGAGCTTTAGCAGCGGGCGTCTCTCTCATCACCGTGGCCGAACACACGAGCTCCGTGGCGGGAAAAGCCGGGCACCGCAGGGCTCCGGCTGCCCGAGCGAGAGGCGCCTGCAGCGGCTGGTCGGAGTCTCCGGCTGCGGGCCGAACCGGGTCAACGACCTGCTGCTGCTGCGGCCCGAACCAGACGAAGAGAGCAGCTCCGGAACCAAGGAGAGCAGCAGACACGTTGTTTTCTTCCACGGAGACATCCAGGTCAGATTCCACCAGGGGCGTCACGCAGCTGCGCAGCCGAGGGGGCCGGGCCCAGAAAATAGACACAATATAGACACAATATATACACAATATAAACACAATATATACACAATATAAACACAATATATACACAATATATACACAATATAAACACAATATATACAATATATACACAATATAAACACAATATATACACAATATAAACACAATATATACACAATATAAACACAATATATACACACAATATAAACACAATATAAACACAATATATACACAATATAGACACAATATATACACACAATATAAACACAATATAGACACTATATATACACAATATATACACAATATAGACACAATATAAACACAATATAAACACAATATATACACACAATATAAACACAATATAGACAATATATACACAATATATACACAATATAAACACAACATAAACACAATATATACACACAATATAAACACAATATATACACAATATAAACACAATATATACACAATATATACACACAACATAAACACAATATATACACACAATATAAACACAATATAGACACTATATATACACAATATATACACAATATAGACACAATATAAACACAATATAAACACAATATAAACACAATATAAACACAATATATACACAATATAAACACAATATATACACAATATAAACACATATATACACAATATAAACACAATATAGACACAATATAGACACAATATAAACACAATATATACACAATATAAACACAATATAAACACAATATATACACAATATAAACACAATATATACACAATATAAACACAATATATACACACAATATAAACACAATATAGACACAATATAGACACAATATAAACACAATATATACACAATATAAACACAATATATACACAATATAAACACAATATAAACACAATATATACACAATATAAACACAATATATACACAATATAGACACAATAAAACACAATATATACACAATATAAACACAATATATACACAATATAAACACAATATAAACACAATATAAACACAATATAAACACAATATATACACAATATATACACAATATAAACACAATATATACACAATATATACACAATATATACACAATATACACAATATAGACACAATATATACACAATATAAACACAATATAAACACAATATAGACACAATATAAACACAATATATACACAATATAAACACAATATATACACAATATAAACACAATATATACACAATATAAACACAATATATACACAATATATACACAATATAAACACAATATATAAACACATATATACACAATATATACACAATATAAACACAATATAAACACAATATATACACAATATGGACACAATATATACACAATATAAACACAATATATACACAATATAAACACAATATAAACACAATATAAACACAATATAGACACAATATACACAATATAAACACAATATAAACACAATATATACACAATATAAACACAATATAAACACAATATATACACAATATATACACACAATATAAACACAATATAGACACAATATATACACAATATATACACAATATAAACACAATATAAACACAATATACACAATATAGACACAATATATACACAATATGGACACAATATATACACAATATAAACACAATATAAACACAAATATACACAATATAAAACAATATAAACACAATATACACAATATAAACACAATATAAACACAATATAAACACAATATATACACAATATAAACACATATAAACACAATATAAACACAATATATACACAATATAAACACAATATAAACACAATATAAACACAATATAAACACAATATATACACAATATATACACAATATAAACACAATATAAACACAATATAAACACAATATATACACAATATAAACACAATATAAACACAATATAAACACAATATACACAATATAAACACAATATATACACAATATAAACACAATATAAACACAATATAAACACAATATAACACAATATAAACACAATATATACACAATATAGACACAATATATACACAATATAAACACAATATAAACACAATATAAACACAATATATACACAATATATACACAATATGGACACAATATATACACAATATAAACACAATATATACACAATATATACACAATATGGACACAATATATACACAATATAAACACAATATATACACAATATAAACACAATATATACACAATATATACACACAATATAAACACAATATATACACAATATATACACAATATAAACACAATATAAACACAATATACACAATATAGACACAATATAAACACAATATATACACAATATAAACACAATATATACACAATATAAACACAATATAAACACAATATAAACACAATATATACACAATATATACACAATATATACACAATATAGACACAATATATACACAATATAAACACAATATATACACACAATATAAACACAATATAGACACAATATATACACAATATATACACAATATAGACACAATATAAACACAATATATACACAATATAAACACAATATATACACAATATAAACACAATATATACACAATATAAACACAATATAAACACAATATAGACACAATATAGACACAATATATACACAATATAAACACAATATAAACACAATATAGACACAATATAAACACAATATAAAAAAAATATAAACACAATATAGACACAATATATACACAATATATACACAATATAAACACAATATAAACACAATATAGACACAATATAGACACAATATATACACAATATAAACACAATATAAACACAATATAAACACAATATATACACAATATAAACACAATATAAACACAATATAAACACAATATAGACACAATATACACAATATATACACAATATAAACACAATATAAACACAATATATACACAATATAAACACAATATAACACAATATATACACAATATAAACACAATATATACACAATATAAACACAATATAAACACAATATAAACACAATATATACACAATATAAACACAATATAAACACAATATAAACACAATATAAACACAATATATACACAATATATACACAATATAAACACAATATAAACACAATATAAACACAATATATACACAATATAAACACAATATATACACAATATATACACACAATATAAACACAAATATACACAATATACACAATATAAACACAATATATATACAATATAAAAACAATATATACACAATATATACACAATATATACCCAATATAACACAATATAAACACAATATAAACACAATATATACACAATAAACACAATATAAACACAATATATACACAATATAGACACAATATAAACACAATATAACACAATATATACACAATATAGACACAATATAACACAATATAAACACAATATACACAATATAGACACAATATAGACACAATATAAACACAATATAAACACAATATATACACAATATAACACAATATATACACAATATATACACAATATAGACACAATATATACACAATATAAACACAATATATACACAATATAAACACAATATAAAAACAATATATACACAATATAAACACAATATAGACACAATATAGACACAATATACACAATATGGACACAATATATACACAATATATACACAATATAGACACAATATATACACAATATAAACACAATATAAACACAATATATACACAATATAAACACAATATAAACACAATATGACACAATATACACAATATAAACACAATATAAACACAATATATACACAATATAAACACAATATAAACACAATATATACACATATATACACAATATAAACACAATATATACACAATATAAACACAATATAAACACAATATATACACAATATATACACAATATATACACAATATGGACACAATATATACACAATATAAACACAATATAAACACAATATACACAATATAAACACAATATATACACAATATAGACACAATATATACACAATATATACACAATATAGACACAATATATACACAATATAAACACAATATAAACACATATATACACAATATAAACACAATATATACACAATATGGACACAATATATACACAATATAAACACAATATAAACACAATATATACACAATATATACACAATATAAACACAATATAGACACAATATAGACACAATATA